ATCAAGAGAAAAATGCCATTCGTGAAGCAAAGCGTCATCAAAACAAGCAACCTGTATCTATGATTTAGCCAAATTGTCACGCCGCCTAGTCAACAGACGACAAATAATCCGTCATTTTGTTTAGCTAGTGAGAGTTTTGTTATCTATACAACCTGGAGCAAAGAGTCAACATTAAATTCTGCTTTAAAATTTGGGAAAAGAGGCTACTGAAACAGCTGAATTGATGAGACAAGTTTGTTGGGATAAATGTTGACTGACTTTCTACCCCACTAGGACATCACACAAGCGATAAACACCCGATGACACAAAGCGCCACCATGTGGATGAGGATCGCCGTGGAGAGGTCACAGAAACCGCGTTCAGACAATTGGCCATATTTATGGCCTGCCTATATTCCGGCCCCTGACAAAAGCCAGGGTGGAGCTTCAGCAGATAAATGTTATATTTCGCGCCCATTTATATCCAGGTGGTATTAACGAAAGTTGCCTGTTTGGATCAGGCGTTTAGCTTCACGAAGGGAGCTTTTGTTTTGTCGATTACAAAATATATGAAATTATTTAATGGCCGGACAGTGTATGTCTAGTAAATCTCCAATGGTTTCTTGGAGCAGAAGGGGTTAAACATTTGAAAAAAAAAAAAAAAAGGACAAACGCAGAGGTAACTTGTAATGACTGACAAATTAAAGCAGACGGTATCTGTTGTGTTCTAATGTAAGTATACTTCAGCCAGTAAGTGGTTGCTAAAAAACATGTCTAACACGAATTAGATCGTTGAATGAAGTGGTTGCTAAGTAATAGTTCCAAGAAGTAGGCCCTATAGTAACTACCCAGTCACAAGAGGGGGCCACCTGACACTAAGTCGTTTTACCAGCTCTGCTCTCTGATATCAGTTTGAAACCGTGGTAACTTTATAAGCCACGTTCTTGATGTCAAGCCAGCAAGGAATTCGTAACTTATTCAACCCTTCATAATGTCACTGAATATATTTCTAATAACGGAATAGGTCGAGGCATGTACAAGAGAACCACAAATGAACAACGCCAAATACCTCAGGTACAAATTGAAAACGTCACAAAGTAATTAGGCCGATCTTCTAATGTGGCACATACGAGAAGAGATAAACAAAGAATCACCAGACCCTGTCACCAACCCCATGTGGATAAAACTTGTATAGTGACTGTGTGGGTTTGAATCCTGACACTGCACACCCACGTGAGAAACTGGACTAATATCTAAGATATGTTGATTCCAGACAAATTCCTGGATAATAAAGAAAACAACTGTGACGAAACGTGAAACCCTTAGGTAAACGTTAATAGGAGAAACCAAAGGTGCCGCACTGAATATCAAAGGGTTGCACAAGTTAGAGCGGAATGGAGAAGTAGACTGCGAGACAAATGTGACATATAATGGTACAATCGGACAATGAATGAATGAAACGGGAAGAAAAGCCCTATGATGTATGCCGTAAGTAATGACTTAGACAGGTTGGCTTAGTTTGGACAAAACTTCAGACACTTATACATTTCTAGATTTTGAGGGCTCAAGTTCACAAGCGCAATAATAATTTTTTATTTTAGTATTTTATACTGAACAGCAAATAAATAGGGCCCCCTAAACAATTTGTGGTGATGGGGCGCCTCAAAGTGCCGGAACCCCTAAGTTACCTCGCCTCTGCAGAGAAGGCGGCCCCCAGCACGACCACATTGAGACTAAAGTATTTACAAACACTGATATTACGAGTACTGAGTGTTATCTGTGTTTACTGTAAACATACAGGTTTGTTGGCATCTGTAGCATTGCTCCGTAAACTTAACATGCACATTTCTGCTACCAAAGTTCCCAACTGATCTATCTATTCACTTGCCCCTCCATCCTCCTGGGCCTAACTGTCTCTCATTAAAGATCTCCGTAGTTCTACAAGTAACCAAACACCCTTCAGCAGTGAAGAGAGAATGAATGTCATATCGTTGAAAACCCAAGTTACCATTTCCCGTTTATCGTTGTCAATCCTCTAAATTATGTTGGAAGGACAGCCTTTTCTTTTTCCGTTGCCGTCTCACTGATACCAGGTTGCAGCCCAGTGTCGTGGTTTTCTGTGTTTGTTTTGCGCTTCCCGGGTGGTTTGGGTGGTGGATTGTTCGTAATTTAACAGGCTTCTGCTACAACATTTATCGATATCTTTCTTGGTCTTCCTCTTGCCTTCCTCCCAAATGTTCTGCTGTAAAGATGCTTGCTTTGTTGTACCCCACCAGGACATCACACAAGCGATAAACACCCGGTGATACAAAGTGCCATCATGCGGATCAGGATCACCCCTGGAGAGGTCACAGAAACCCCTTTCAGCCGTTAGGCCATATGTATAGTCTAGGCCATATATATTCAGGGCCCCCGGCAGAAGCCAGGGTGGGGTTTCAAATAACAACAAATTGCATCCCACATGGGGACGACTTATTCTGCAGCAAAGAGTGTGGGGAAAAGACAGACTGACTGACTTTCTACCCCACCAGGACATCACACAAGCGATAAACACCCGATGACACAATGTGCCACCATGTGTATGAGGATCACCGTGGGGAGGTCCCAGAAACCTGGCGTATTTATGGCCAGGCTATATTACTGCCCCTGGCATGAGCCAGAGTAGGGCTTCAAATAACGAAAAATTGCATCCTAAAAAGGACGGTAAAATTGTAAGTATGGAAAAAAGACAGCAGCAACCTGCCATTTAGAGATATGGACGTCAAAAGATCAACCCAAGACTCGATTTACATTTCTTCTAAACTTTCAACCGTCGTGTGATCTTGCATTCTGCATTTGCGAGTTTTATTGCTACAGATAAAAAGGAGGAAAAAAAGATATTTATTTTCGTCATTTACAAAACAAATAGTCATTACAATTAGTAATCGAAAGGTAAATGAAATATATAACTGGACCAGAGCTGAACTAAAAAGTGACTAAAAGTTATCGCCCTCTAAAGACGGGAAAATATCGGTCCCCAGTGTTACTGTAAAGATCTTAAAGAGTTAAATATTGTTATAGAAACTATATCTGACAGAAGTATACATGACACGATAACATTGTTGACTACTGAAAGGTTACAAAGTATACATCGTGTCCGTGATATATTGACATGTCGGTAAGTTATATTCGGAGGTTTATGCGTGCTATTTCTTCGTTTTCTTCGTTCGCCCGGAATTTATTTGGTGTTTTGGACATTAGTGCACTGCTGTTTACTGCTGCGATATTTGCTCAACAAGTCCAGCTTTTAGAATTCTTGATGACCGCGAATGCCTTTCCGATTCGTTTCACGGACATTGCGCAGCCTAATTTTTGTGTCGTCCTGACTTGATGATTGAACAGTAAGTTAGTAAGTTAGTTAATCGACAGATTACCCTCAATGCACAACGGACAAGTCTATAAGCGCTCGGATCCCATTTTCGGTATATCCTTCCATGTGCGGCGACTGATAACACCAGTTCTGTGTTGGTTTACTATTCTTCTTTGACTATCTGTATTGTCTTCATGTTTGGCGACACATCTGTTGACCTGAAATTCTTGTAGCTTTTTCATTGTTGCGGATTCAACGATCGTTCCCTGAATCATCTCGTTGGTCTGCCTCCTTGAGTGCATTGTCCCCCGGTTCATTGCTTTTCCTGTACCTACCGTGGCTCTGCCAAGCAAACCAACTCGTTCATTCCCTCTTACCCAGACTGCCCTGGCACAAAATTGAAACTAATTCCTTTCAGACCAGATTTCCTCAGTGACTCCAACCATTTTCTTCGAATCCAACCTAATCTATCTTCTTAACCATGCTCGTGAAATCACTTTGAAAGATTACAAAATACCGCGTTAAAACAGCCTCACCCTGAGGGTGAGTTTAGGTTATATTGTGTTCTGGATTATTTGCGCTGTATTGATGGCTAAAAACTGCTCGCCACCAAGTATCTCTGAAAAAGATACACAGTGTTTTTGCGATAACCCAAACAGTTTCATGGCACTCGATGGAGTTGCTCATTAACCAGCAAAGGCCAACCTGTCGTCGATGTGTGTCGTCATCCTCACCCTTTTAATTATTGATAGTTCACCTGCCCCAGCATACAGTTGACAGTGTTGGAGCACATGATCAGCATTTTCGGTTGCCAAGTTTGCAGGGACACGTCTCCGTGTTTCCTAAGTTTGAAAATATGTTGACGAAGTCTGTTGTGCCCTATCCTTAGTTTGAATATGGTACACTCTGCATCTCTAGAAAGGCGATGAAGCGAATCCCGAGGAGAACATTTGGTATGTGTATCCAGCAACCTTTCTTGGATACTAGATAGTATTAATGTCTTAGTCTCTTGGTGGGTTAAGTCGCTATTTGGTTGTACCAAGTCAACAAACTGAGTGTCTTTTGGGTTGACAATTGCTTGTAGAACCGACATAGAATCAGTCAAAAAGACCACTTTGCTATATTTGCTGTGCTGTTGTCCATTCAGGAAAGAACATGTCACCAGAATTGCTTCTGTCTCTGCTCTGTAATTGGAGGAGTATGAACCTGTTGGTACAGCCTGGTTGATTTTTAAACCATTTGGGCATTCTATGTATATTCCTCCTCCTCCGTCTCTTACTGGTCTCTTGGCTGAACCATCTGTATACACTCGGATCCAACTCTGGTGTGGATAAAGTTTGTTGATCTCTCCTTCCCAAGGGGGGTGGTGGAAGGGGGGGGGGGGGGGCAGTGGTTGTAAGGTTTTCATGAAACATTTGAAACTATGAGAGGGAGTCTGAGGTCAGCGGGCCTGACGTTTGCGTTTTTAATGAAACAGGTTCTCTTAAGTCTAGTTCTCTGTAGTTTCTGCAGGCGGCTGTGCATAAATTGTTCTTTCAAATAGCTGTATTTGGAGAGCTGGTTGATCTCGACATCCTTTACAATATTAACAGGTTCCACGACAGTGGCATCGTAACTGTAATTTCTATCACACTTTTAAGGTTTGCATTTGGTAATTTGACGATATTCTGTAGTTACAGGTTATTTCAGATATCTTGAGCTCCAGAGAAAGACTTGACCTTATCACCAACCACGAAGGAGATCATGACGACACGGGCTCGGCCACCGACAGCAGCAGATTCGTCACACAAGGTCCAGATGGCAAACTTTACCAACCCATTCCTGTGTGAGTCTCATTGTGTGCGTCTGTGTGTGCGGGCGCGCGCGCGTGCGTGTGTGTTGTAATGACGATGTGATCGATTATCGCCGGATGATTGTTATTTGGTTTGGTTTGCTCTGTATCTAACGGAGAAATGTTTCTATAGTATTTGAACCCTCCCCCCCCCCTTTTTCCAAACCTCAACCCCTTCCCAAAAGGTACATGCTACACTTTTTAACAACATCACCATCGTCATCATCATAATTTTTATCATCGTCTTCAACATCATAATTGTTATCATTATCATCAATAACATCATCATCATTTTTATCAGCATCATCACCACCATAAAACTATCATCAGTGAAGGCTCGCTCATGGGCCACTCAAACATCCAAGACCTACAACGGATTGCAACGAACCGCTATGCATGGAAAGTCATGACCTCTGCCCTATGTGCCGCACTCGACACAAGAGGAAAGACTAACTAACTAATCACCACCACCATCATCATCATCATCATCATCATCATTATATTACATTTGGTATGCGAAACGTCGCTACCGTTACAAACCACTTGGAAAGATAAACAATTCCTCCATCAACAGCTATTGCCGTGTATTGTCACGCCCAGTAAGTAAAGGACAGGAAAGGACCCTGTTTTCACGCCTCCAGACGTACTGGGCACATTATGGCAGACCTATATTTTTTTAGAACAATCAGCACTTGGTGGGTGAAGGGGTCAGCATCAGTCAACATTGTGACAGCCGCTTTTACTTCCGATGACATTTCCTGGTACCCAGTTTAGACTGGGACCCTATGTCAGTTATGCAAATTATCTGCTTCAATGAGAACTCGAGCCCAAAAAATTTAGATCGGTAGGTAAGCGCTATGTAACTGATATTTTTTGTCCTAGCACTGAATTTCCTGACTCCAAACTGCTCTTTCTCAGACACGCCCATTACTGTTAGTTTTTAACCATGCGGACTCATGAACAACCGACAGTTGTCAAGTTTTCCAATCATTACGATGGTCGTGAAGCTAGTTATCTGAAAGTTCCAATCTGACTGGTTACTTTGTTGATTGATTTGTTGATTAGTTGGTTGACTGTGTATCCATTTGTAATCCCCGTAAGAGTTCCTTGGTCCCGTTATGGGGTTGGGGGGGGGGGGGGGGTAAGTGAATTTGCATGAGAACCAGTCTTAATACAAATAAGCCAGATCTGTAAAACGTATGAGCACACACAACTTAAGTTCAGGAACAAGAATAAAACACAGAAGTTAACGAAAAACCAGAGGTTCCCGCCGGCATTTACAGCTGGTGAATGAGAAAAAAGAAGTAGAAGCAGTATCTCCTGGCAAAGTGATTGTGAACTCTCAAGTCCACTAAAAAGGATTTTATCAATCAAAAAGAAAAGAGTATAGAGCAGAGGAATAAGACGGCTAAAACAGCTGAATAAAATATGGAGTGGGACTGAGAAAATTTAAAAACAAAATTAGCTTTTTAAGAGCACGCATCTTTCCCATTGAAACATACACCTGTGAGACCTGGACACTTACTAAACAAGCTGAACATCGCATAAATGACGTTGAATACAAATGTTATAGCCGGGTTCTAAGAATATGATAGGTAAAGAAAAGAACAAATGCATCCATATTTCAAGAACTGAAAATTCAAGAAGGTTGGCAAGGACGATAAAACACAGAAAAGTAAAATATTTTGATCACTGGAAACGTCATGAAAGTTTGGAGAGAACAATTTTGGAAAGGTATATGCCTGGGAAGAGAGGAAGAGAAAGGCCAAAGAGAAGATGGGTCTAGGATGTGGTGGATGATCTCCAGATGGGTGTATCAGACGCGGGACATCTTGCTGGTGATCGAGAAGTTTTTGGGAGGGTTGTTTTGGGAGCAAGATTCTGCAAAGGACATGCTACTGACTGACTGACTGACTGACTGACTGATGGACTGACTGAGGGGTATAAGACCATAGAAAGCCAAGGAAACCGTTTGGTCTAGCCTTATCAAGCAATTATACCACTGTGTTTAACCGATTAATTTCAGAAGAACTGTTACGGAGAACACAGAACAACAAACAGAACATCCCGGTGACACATATGAGTACGGAGTGTTTGGACTTGGTGCCTGTAAGCCTAAATGGAGTCAACGTAAGTGCTACACTTATTCTTAAACACATAATTAATAATATATTTATCGCTTACTGCTGTCCTTTATCACCAACGGGAGCCGCCGTGATGTAGCGGCTAGGCGCTCGCTTACGGATCTGAAGGTTGCCTGCAGTAACGGCTCCGTTCCAACGCCAGTGGAAATCACCAAATGTCAGATTTGAAAACAAATGAAAAACTTGTCTGTCCCAGCAAAATCTTAAAGCTTGTAAACGGAAAGTAAAAATGCACGAGGCAGCTGTCAGTTGTGTCAACACTAATAGTCCCACACCAGAACGGCCAATCACTGGCAGAAGTACACGCCCCTCTGAACGTAATCGACCACATACCATTTTACAAGTACTATAGATAATATCACGCCGCGGGCACGGATAGAAAAAAAAAACACACACTCAAGCTGCTGGACGGCGGAACTTTTGGACTGCCATCCCAGAAATGGGAAATTTGCAACAGCAAAACCTAGCTGGAAATGAATAACGTTTCACAGCGTCAGCGGTCTAACGGATATCTGCCATTTTGGCAACATGCAATAAAATAGTTGTTTCTCCGCATTTAACTTTCTTTTTATAGATAGCTTTTGTATCTCATGACTTTAACATTGTTATTGTCTACTTGCAGGTCTGGCCAATCTCAACGTGTTTGTCGTTGTTTATGGAGTAGCCGGAATCTGGATGATCACTCTCTCCGGTTTTTTAGGATCTCAGGTCACGTCAATAGAGCGCCATCTTGGAATTTCCAGCAGCAAAACAGGTTGGTAGACATGTATTTAATAGTCTGTTATAGTATCGATTCTCTCTTTTCTATAGTGCAGACTTTTCATAATTGTGCGTTCATTCTGATATTATTACGAATATTTTTTGCTAAGCCAGATCATTTTAGTGATTTTCAGATTGTTAACTGGCAGCTTGAACTCCAGAGATTTGTAATATAGCGGGGGAGTTTTTTTTCTTATCACCGAGGCTTACTTTACTTATAATCGATCCTCTTCTACCCTGAGGTGTATAAGTTTGCCAGAGAAATAGCCAGATTTCTTTGTCAGCAGTTTTCTACTTGGCTTTGTTTCATTCAAGTCCCCTGTCAGTCAGGGATTGTCGGATGTTGTCTTCCCAACAGACCCTGTGTGGCCATGGAGGTCTGCTTCCTTTAATTCTTGGCCTTTCATTCTGCCGAGACAGCTGATTCTCTTCCATTCATCATACATGCCCAAGCCATCGTAACTCTGACTGATCCACTCTAGTTCGTTAGGCCAGGGTTTCAATAATATATTGTCTGTTTGCGAGCCTTGTTCCTTCTTGGCAGTTGGACCACGATATCAAAACATGTCACTACTATTGAAACACCAGAACTGAATACAATATATGTGAACCATCTTGACCTATGGAAACAGTTATTATTTATTTTTTATGTATGTATAAAGTAAACAGTTCTGTTTCATGTGTGTCTTAACTAATGCACTATCGGAACAAATAATGAATGTACACTTCTGTATTTACACTTCTTTGCATATTCTATGAGGGATAACGTGGGTGAGTGAGTAAATGACATTCAACTCCACCAGGACCGCACAACGAACGATTAGGACCATGTGACACAAAGTGCCACCATTCAGATGCAAATCCTCTAGTCACAAGTCCCAGAAACCCCGCACGACCGTTAAGTTATATTAGGGCCCTCGACGACAGCCAGGAAGGTGCTTTAAACTAATTTTTGAAAGAAAAAAAAATGTCGTCCAAATTGGCACAGAGTTAAAGGAGTCAGATAGTCCCTAAAAAATAGATTAAGAAAGTGAGGACATCCGTGAGAAGGCATTAGACGAACGTTGTTGAGGGAGGCAAGGGTTCTAGACAGGATTCCAGCCATGATATAGAAAATAATGTACTTTCCCATATGTGCTATATGTAGGGTTTATGCTGAGCAGTAATGAACTTCCTCGTGTGTTCTATATGTAGGGTTTATGCTGAGCAGTAATGAACTTCCTCGTGTGTTCTATATGTAGGGTTTATGCTGAGCAGTAACGAACTTCCTCGTGTGTTCTATATGTAGGGTTTATGCTGAGCAGTAACGAACTTTCTCGTGTGTTCTATATGTAGGGTTTATGCTGAGCAGTAACGAACTTTCTCGTGTGTTCTATATGTAGGGTTTATGCTGAGCAGTAATGCACTTTCCCATATGTTCTTTATGTAGGGTTTATGCTGAGCAGTAATGAACTTCCTAGTGTGTTCTATATGTAGGGTTTATGCTGAGCAGTAATGAACTTCCTAGTGTGTTCTATATGTAGGGTTTATGCTGAGCAGTAATGAACTTTTTCGTGTGTTCTACGTGTAGGGTTTATGCTGAGCAGTAATGAACGTCCGCCTGTGTTCTATATGTAGGGTTTATGCTGAGCAGTAATGAACTTCCTCGTGTGTTCTATGTGTAGGGTTTATACTGAACAGTAATGAATTTCCTCGTGTGTTCTATATGTAGGGTTTATGCTGAGCAGTAATGAACTTCCTCGTGTGTTCGTTGTGTAGGGTTTATGCTGAGCAGTAATGGACTTTCCTTATGTTCTACATGTAGGGTTTATACTGAGCAGTAACGAACTCCCCTATATGATCCAAATGTAGGGTTTTTATTGAGCTGTAATAAACTTCCCCATATGGCCCACATGTAGGGTTTATCCTGAACAGTAATGGACTTCCCCATATGTTCTGTATGTAGGGTTTATATTGAGCAGTAACTTACTTCCCCGTATGTTCTGTATGTAGGGTTTATACTGAACAGTAATGAACTTCCCCATATGTTCTGTATGTAGGGTTTATATTGAGCAGTAACTTACTTCCCCGTATGTTCTGTATGTAGGGTTTATACTGAACAGTAATGCACTTCAACATATGTTCTGTATGTAGGGTTTATACTGAACAGTAATGAACTTCAACATATGTTCTGTATGTAGGGTTTATATTGAGCAGTAATGAGATCGGCTACCTGGTGTTCGTGATTCTCGGAAGCCACCTGGGCAAGTACACCCACATCCCCGTGTTCCTGTCAGTCTCGGGCCTTGTCTTTGGTCTGGCCACACTCGCTATGGCGCTCGGAAGACTGGAGACACCCAGGGTATGGCAGGACGCTACGGATAAAAGCCGTAAGTATTTAGATAGAAAACGAAAAAGTTTTTAAATGTGGAAATCTTTAGCATAAAATCTGGAATGTTTTGTTTTCATATATCGTGTATAACATTGTTGGTGCGTCCTGGGACATTTTGATTCCATTGACCAATTCCTTCATGCCAGTATCATAGAGTAGCGGTTCTCACACTTGGAGCCGCGAGCGTGTGCCGGGATTGCTGCGAGGGTATGCCAGGGGTCCAGCGGGAATAATCAGGAATTGGGTCCTTTCGCAATATCCTACCCCAGAGGACATCACTGGACAGTCCAACATTTTAAAAGGTGGTAAAACTGGGTTTCCTGACTTTCTGATGCTTATAACGACCCCAAAACCACCTACGTCTCACGGGAGGGTGTAGCCTAGGTCCAATGACTGCATTCAGCCTACGTCCCACGACTGCATGCAGCCTATCTACCACCCCCTGAAATATTAGACTGTCCCGTGACCTGTAGACTTCCCCTGTTTGGGGTAGATTTTAATAAAGCACAAAGAATTGTTCTAAATCTGCTTGAGATCAGCGAAAGCAGCAGTTTAAAACAAAAATACCGAGAAGGGAGCTAAAAAGAGTTCTGGGTGCAGGTGTATTCAGAAGACAATGCTATTGGCAAGGTCGCGGTGCATTCTCAACGTACTCTTACATAAAAAAACAAAAACAGATACAGGCTCAAAGAATCATGTGATTCGAGGGTACAGCTTCTACTTTCATCAACATTTTTAGCCAATCGTTTAAACAAAAAAAGTCTCCTCATATTAACCCTAGTAGTTAGTTTGCCTCTGATTTTCCTATAGAACTGTAACCCCTTTAGACCATTGTATCGGTTACTTCAACAACTAACCGTTTATGGAATTAGATGTTTGACTGACTGACTGACTGACTTTCTACCCCACCAGGACATCACACAAGCGACAAACACCCGATGACACAAAGTGCCACCATGCGGATGAGGATCACCGTGGAGAGGTCCCAGAAACCGCGTTCAGACAATTGGCCATATTTATGGCCTGCCTATATTGCGGTCCACGGCAAAAGCCAGAGTGGGGCTTCAAATAAGAAAAGATTACGTCCTGAAAAGGACGTAAGTAAGGAATTTTAACTTAGATGTTTGTAAAAAGCCGCTAAAAAACCCAGAAAAGATCGTGTGAGAAATGAAGAGTAGAATATTGAATTGAGAATCGACATCAAACCACTCACATAAGCGCCCCGTTCCCATCTCCAGCAGCAAACAAGGAGTGTCAATTCCAAAAAGCACCAATAACTGTCTGATTGTACATAAGTCTCGCCTTTCCCTTGAGTGTTGAGCGTCGGCCAGATCTTCTGGTAACTCCCCGCAGCGCTATTCTCCTCAGACCGTAATGATCTGTTTGTGCTTCCGCACTGTTCACTCGCCCTAAAAGAGCTCTCACAACATCTAGCTTGTCATACATCACTTCACCACCAACTGGCGCTGAACCGGCCAGTCTATCTGTCTGCTCGTTTTTCAACACACCAATAAGACCTAGAGAAAATATCTAATGGACGCTAACTAGCCAGGACCTCTGAAATGAGGAGTACAGAATTAAACATGTCTATTATAACGGTAAAGTTATTTTTGTATCATTTATAGCAGTCTACAGAACCAATCCCAGCATGTTGGCTGTTTAGTTTTACCAGGCAATTCTACGTTCAGTAGTTTGCCATAGCTAACCGAACGCTTGGTTCTCGATACCACTGGGAACACCGTTCAAAAGGGTCCGCTGCTAAATCGTTTGTAGCTGGAATCGAATACTATAAAGTGTCTTAATTGGTTCCCTTACTTATCATAAAGTGTCTTAACAAGATGCCTGTGCTCACTAAAAAAAAAGAAAGTACCGGTACTCACTATAAAGTGGCTATTACATTAGGAAAGATATCCCCACAGAAACGACATTGCTACTAAGTATCGCTGCATGCCGCAAAATGCCCGGGCGTATATGTTCGTGTGTATGGCTGAAGTAGAATACCCTGTGATGAACGCTATGCACATAAGACTATCAATTAATAATTAGACTAACAACTCAAATACAAAACGCGTTTGTACTTATTCTGTGAATTATGCTTTCAGCTTCTGGCGCCCAGTCGAGCACCTTTGACAGTTCTGCCAAGTACCTCTGTGATTCTGGATTTTCAGCATCTATCGATACAGTCTTGATTTCTACGAACTCTTCCACATTTTCCCCGAACATATCGGGAGATTTGAGCCCGTCTCGTTCAGTTTCGTGGGTATTTTATCTGCTCGTGTTCTGTACAATAATAGGTGGCGCTGTGAAGTCTTACAGAATCCCGCTGCTAACATACTACATCGAGAGTAACATTGTCAACAAAAATCGTTCGGCTCTGTTGCTAGGTAAAGGCTTCTGTGATGTTGTAGGGGATTAGGAGATTAGTTAGTTGGGTGAATGATTCGTTTAGTGATTGATTGATTGTTTATAATTTGGTTATTAATTGGTTAACATCAGAAGAAGACAAGTAATCTTTTTATAAAGTAAGATCCCTTATTACGCCTAAGGCTCATCAGGTATATGGGCAGAGCGTCCCATATTTTTACAGACCAATCGGCACTCGGTGGGTAATGTGGTCAGCATTACGCCGGCCGTCTTTACTTCCCCAGGACAGCCATCCTGGTACCCATTTGAGTCTGGGTCGACCTGCGACGTCCCATACCACAATAAAAATCCACGAATCTTTTTATGGGTTATGCTATAAAAAAATGAAAGCCGGAATATGTGACACGTGACAGGATTTATGGAAAGAAAGGCAGACGTAACAGTGTGAGAAGACTTTGGACATTTTTTTTGTCACAGCATTGAGGTGTGTCAGCATATAAACTGGCACACGCTGCTGGAGATTGTACGCCGTGTAGAGGCATGAAAACCTAGATCAGCCGGCAATTCACTCGATGATGATGATGATGAAAGTGATGGTGGTTGACTGGTTAAACAGTAATGGTCATTGGCATCTTGCTGAAGTGGCCAACTTGCTAAATCCCTGTTCTGAGAAGATCTCTAAGTCGCAGATGCAAATTGTACAGTTGCCTGAAAAGCTATAATTGATTTTGACCTATTTTAAATATAAATTCACAAACTTGCCTTTCGTAATCAGATGAGAGCAGTTCCAGCTTCACACTAATTGGTACCGCATAGCTGCTCTGTTCCTGAGCCAGCGACAACCACACAGTGTCCGGCTCTTCCTCTTGTGTGTGTTTGTGTGTGTGTGGGTGTGTGTGTGGGTGGGTGGGGGGGGGGAGGACGGGGCAGACAGAGACTGCAGGCTCAACAAATCCAACACGCACTGAATGCAGACGACAGCAGGTAGAAGTGCCAACACAAACAGTCCAACATCAGAAACGCAGTTAATTGACGATGGAAGCAGCAGTTATAAAATAGTAATAACTGCACACGAAATTATTCGCATAAGGCACCACATGTCTTCTGGCAACAGGCCACTCAAAATTTAATGAAACTGCAGTTCACGACACAAACCATATTAGGCACAGTCGAAAAGCATTTAAAATGAAATCCACGACTCACAGTTCGCGACATACACTCAGTTTAGTAGCAGCCCAAACTCCTCACATTCTACAGTATCGGAATTCCTTGGGATAATATAGTGACAAATAACTGCCTTAAAAATATACTTAGATGACAAAGCGTCCAAAATCACACTTAGGGGACTTCTGGCGTGGAGTTAACAAACTGCCACTGGTAGACGGTGCAGGGACCGAGCGACACGGCCACTGATGAAGTATTAAAGACACACATTGGAATACAGCAGCGGTTCTTAAACTTTTTTCTCTGCGGCACCATCGTCGGGGATTTTCCCCCCTTCCAGGCACACCTACATTTAAAGCGTGTTGAATACTTTTGGGGGCAAAAAAAAAAAAAAAAAAAGAAATAAAACAGTACAAATTTAATGTTCAGTTGTCTTTAATGCGATGAATGAAACTGTTTGGATGCATTTTTCATTATTTCCTTTATGTTTATGTGAAGTTTAGTTAATTTTACACTCAAATTGCTTGACCCAGAAATTCTGCCTCTGTAACTGTTTTTTTTTTTAAATGTATGCGTACGTCGAAAATGCGCTGCAGCCTTGCCAAAAACATTGTCTTCTCAAAACACCTGCATCCAAAACTCTTCTAGACTTCCCTGTCGGCATTTCTGTTTTAAACTGCTGTCTTTGGAACAGTTCATGATTATTGATGCGGCACCCCTGGCATACGCTCCGGGCACCCCTTGCATACGCTCGTGGCACCCATGGCATATGCACGTGGCACACCTTGGTGGCGCGGCACTCACTCTGAGAGGCGCTTGATTGCAGGTTGTGATGTAAAGGCTAGACGCTCGCCTGTGGATCGGATGGTCGAGGGTTCATGTCCTCAGGAAGACGGCTTTGAAAAAAAGGAACTTGGTTCCCAGATTGACCCAGCCTTGAATGGGTACCAGGTATACGTCCTGTGAAGTCAAGGGGTCGGCGTGATACTGACCACACCACCTACCACATGCCGCTGTAAAATATAGGTCTAGCCCTATATGCCAAATACATCGAAGAGGGGCCTTTGCTTTTATTTTAGAATATAAACGTTCTGTAAGGCATTACGGTTCCTTGATTCCCACCCTTGAGATAGTAAATGACATTACGGTTGTTTGATTTTCACCCTTGAGATAGTAAATGGCATTACGGTTCTTTGATTCTCACCCTTAAGATTGTAAATGACATTACGGTTCCTTGATTCTCACCCTTGAGATTGTAAATGACACTACGGTTCCTTGATTCCCACCCTTGGGATAGTAAATGACATTACGGTTCTTTGATTCTCACCCTTGGGATAGTAAATGGCATTACGGTTCTTTGATTCTCACCCTTGGGATAGTAAATGGCATTACGGTTCCTTGATTCTCACCCTTGGGATAGTAAATGACATTACGGTTCTTTGATTCTCACCCTTGGGATATTAAATGACATTACGGTTCCTTGATTCTCACCCTTGAGATTGTAAACCTACAGACTATAATCCTAGAAAAGAATTGGAAAAGAGGGAAAGGGAAAGAGGATAAACAAGTTAAGAGGACTGGCGGCGGAGAGCCTTTTCATTGGTCAGTGGTGTTCGTGGCGTTCAGCAAAAGATATGCTCACAGAAATTGTACCTGCATAATTAATGAGTTTTTACTAATCTATTTCTTTATTATGCATGCTCTAACTGAATGCGATTGCTTTTATGTTTTGACCCCAGGCGCCTCATTTACTGCCATGCTTTTAGGACCCCCGGTATCTTTATTCCTTGGTAGCTTCTCCAGTTCTCTCCCTGTAGATCTTAAAGGTAAGCCTCGTTGTAGTGTGCTATGTTAAAGAGAAGCTATTTTCATACAACACTGTAAACACACACACACACACGCACGCGCACTCACTCACACACACACGCGCGCGGGCACACGCACTTACACACATGCACACACACAATAATAGCCTTATTTATTTTCCAGAATATTTCCTACTAATGCTAATCTTGCTACTATAAACTCTACCCCTTGTCTTACTCATACTGCAGCTACTACCACCACCACCACAACAATTACAACTACTACTGCTGCTGCTACTTACCACTACTACTACCAGCACCACAAATATTACTACCACTACTACCACCAACACCACCTACTGCCACCCCACCAGAACAATTTACTCCTAGTACCACAACCACTACTATTACTGCTGTTGCTGCTACCGCTACCACCACTACGCTACTGACACAACAACAATAACAACTACAACAACAGCAACAACAACAGCTACTACTGCCATCACCACCACAGCAACTACTATTACTTCTACTCCCAGTACTACTACCTCAACAACAACAACCTGCTACTACTAATTCTGCTACTACTACTACTACTACAGCTACTACTACTACTACTGCTACTACTACTACTACAACTACTGCTACTACTACTACTACTGCTACTACAACTACTGCTACTACTACTACTGCTACTACTGTCACTGCTGCTGCTGTTACTACTACTACAACCACTACCACCACAGTTGCTATTACTAATGCAACTACTACTACCACCACCACCACACCCACAACTTCTACGACTACTGCTGCTGCTGCTGCGGCTGCTGCTGCTGCTGCTGCTGCTGCTACTACTACTACTACTACTACTACTACTGCTACTACTGCTGCTGCTGATGCTACTGCTGCTACTGCCACCACCACCACCATCACCATCACAACCACTACTACAACTGCTACTATTACTGCTACCACCAACACTATTGCTGCTTTTACTACTACCACTACCACCACCACAACAACCTCAACTAATACTACTACTACTATTACTACTACTACTACTACTACTACTACTACTACTACTACTACTACTACTACTACTACTACTACTACTACTACTACTACTACTACTACTACTACTACTAATGCTGCAGCAACAACAACAACAACACTAAAAATCACTACTACTACCACCACCAAAACCACCACTACTACTACTATTACTACTACTACTATCACTACTAAACCTCCCTCGAAGTCGGAGTACATCTGCCGGTGCGGCAGGGAAAGAGAACTGCAAACAAATAGGACAGTGAAACGGATGTACACGGAAAACTCAAGTTCAGTTAAAAGCCAAAAGTTCAACTGGACGAACAACCAGGACTTTCCGCCTGAATTAACAGCCCGTGAACAAGAAGAAGAAGAAGAACTACTAAACCAAGTAAAGATGTTGTCTGCCCCATCATCCCAGATTTCTTGTGATCCCCCCCCCCCCAGAAACCAACATGTCCAAACACGACCAGAGATGGGTCGGTGCCTGGTGGCTCGGTTTTTCTATCATCGGACTGGCCTGTATCATCTGCTCCGTGCCAATCATGTTCTTTCCCAGACACATGCGCAAGTTAAAAACTCGGAACCTTCCAGAAACGACACAGACCACATCTCTACGGGTGATGCTTCAGGGTGAGTTGTTCTTATTGTTGTACCTGCACTATGGCTGCTACATAGTTCTTACCAGCACTGTTGTTACTTCAGAGTTCCTACCAGCACTGTGGTTGCTATAGAGTTCTTACCAGTACTGTGGTTACTACAGAGTTCCTACCAGCACTGTGGTTGCTATTAGAGTTCTTATCAGCACTGTGGTTGCTATAGAGTCCGTATCAGCACTATGGTTGCTACAGAGTTCTTACCAGCACTGTGGCTGCTGTGTTCTAACCAGCACTGTGGCTGCTGTGTTCTAACCAGCACTGTGGCTGCTGTAGAGTTCATACCAGCACTGTGGCTGCTGTGTTCTAACCAGCACTGTGGCTGCTGTGTTCTAACCAGCACTGTGGCTGCTGTAGAGTTCATACCAGCACTGTGGCTGCTGTGTTCTAACCAGCACTGTGGCTGCTGTAGAGTTCATACCAACACTGTGGCTGCTGTAGAGTTCTAACCAGCACTGTGGCTGCTGTAGAGTTCTAACCAGCACTGTGGCTGCTGTGTTCTAGCCAGAATTGTGGCTGCTGTAGAGTTCTCACTAGCACCGTCACTGCTGTGGAGTTCCTGCAATTACTTTGCCTGCTGATAAAGTTTCTACCCGTACTGTGGTTGCTGTAATGTTCTTACCAGCACTATGGTTGCTGCAGAGTTCTTACCAGCACTGTGGCTGTTGTGGAGTTCTAACCAGCACTGTGATTGCTGCAAAGTTCTTACCAGCACTGTGGTTGCTGCAGAGCTCTTACCTACAATGTGACTGCTAAAGCCACAGCAGCTGTGCCTCCATTAGGAACAGCAGATCAAGAAACTTTGATAAACAGATGGGTCACACAGCCACACAAACATCCACACACACACACACACATCCACACACACACACACACACATCCACACACACACACACACACACACAAGAAAAAATGGTGGCGCAGTGGCTAAACGTCGGCCCGAAGTTCTTGGCTCTCAATACGCATCCAGTGAGGTTATTTTTTAAAATGATACAGACTCAGAGGTCGACTAGCCTAAGGCAGATAACAAAAAATTAATTGGAAGTAAAGGCGGCGGACCCATTTTCACCAGGACAGTACCGTGTTTTAGGAGTGTCCTGGCCGTCCCGATGGAACTCCCCCCCCCCCTTCAAAAAAATCCTGCCAATTGTTCCGGTTTATAAAAATCTAGGAGTAAGCTCGAGAATATAAGACCCCCACACCCACCTACCAACCTACCTACCCACCTACCTACTTACCCATCTACCTACCCACATATCCACCTATCTACCCACCCACCCACCTACATACCTACCTACCTACCTACCTACCTACCTACCTACCTACCTACCTACCTACCTACCTACCCACCCATCTACATATCTAAATATCTACATACCCACCCACCCACCTACAAACATACCTACCCATCTACCTACCTACCAACCTACCCACCTACCTACAAACCAACCTACCTACCCACATATCCACCTATCTACCCACCCACCCACCTACATACCTACCTACCTACCTACCTACCTACCTACCTACCTACCCATCTACATATCTAAATATCTACATACCCACCCACCCACCTACAAACATACCTACCCATCTACCTACCTACCAACCTACCCACCTACCCACCTACCTACCAACCTACCTACCTACCCACCTACCTATCTACCTACCCACCTACCTACCTATCTACCTACCCACCTAACTACCCACCTACCTACACACCCACCAACCTACCTACATACCCACCCACCAACCTACCTACATACTCACCTACCTATCTACCTACCTACCTATCTACCTACCTACCTATCTACCTACCTACCTATCCACCTACCTACCTACATACCCACCCACCTACCTACATACTCACCTACCTATCTACCTACCTACCTATCTACCTACCTACCCACCTAACTACCCACCTACCTACCTACCGGCATACCTACCTACCAACATACCTACCTACCTATCTACCTACCTACCCATCTAACTACCCACCTACCTACACACCCACCAACATACCTACATACCCACCCACCTACCTACATACCTACCTACCTACCTGCCCACCTACCTATCTACACACCTACCCACCTAACTACCCACCTACCTACCTACCTACCCACCTACCTACTTACCTACCCACCTACCCACTCTCCTATCTACCTACCCAACTACCTGCCTACCTACCTACTTATATATATATATATATATATATATATATATATATATATATATATATATATATATATATATATATATATATATATTATGGCATCGAGGATAATTTGTATCAGAGTTGAATGAAAGTACACGAGACAGAAGGTTGTGGACAGACATGAACACTAACGCCACATGGCATGGACTTAAGAAGAATATCAAATAAGTAAAGATCTTTTTTTCCCGCCCTTAGGCGCATCTGACATATGGAAAGAGCACCCACATTTTTTTTACAGACCAGTCGGCACTAGGTTTGTAATGTGCTCAGCATTACGCTGTCCGTCTTTACTTCCCTAGGACATCCTGTTACCAGTTTTAGGTTGGGATGATCTGCGACGCCCCATACCTCGATGGGTTTCGGTCGCGGTACGTTGGATTACGAGTCGGACTCGCAACGCCTAAGCCACGGACGCCTGTTTATAAAAGACACATATCTGGTATTATATACCAATGCTCTAATAATGTTGGAAAGACCCTGGCTTCAAAGACAACATAAACCTTATGTCAAGAACACACCAGCCCACAAATGTCATCAGACTTCGAACACCCCAAGTATCACTTATGCGCTTAATAACGATTCAAAACACTACTGACACTCGGGTGGTTACTGTCTTGATACCCTCATTATCTAATAGCAAGTCCTTTTTAGAACGTCGCTCTTTTCACGGGTCACCTGAAAGTATTCATTTCCCTAGCCAGCTTTCCAGCCCCATGTGCTTTCAATGCCAACGCATCTACAATGTCCTAAATCCATCTTCGCTGAGGTCGACACCTGCCCCAAACTGCACCTTCCATCACCGTCTTTTCCTAGCGCCTATGACGTTTGATGTGGCCAAAATACTTCAACTTTTAGGACAGGACGCTGTTTATGAGCCAGTTCTCCTTGTTGTTCAGCTCGTGAAAAATGTCGATGCTTTTAATCTTTTTGACCCATAATATTCTGATAATTTTTCAATAGCTCCAGTCTTTTTCTTCAGTGATTTAGTGAGAGTCCAGGACTCACAGGCGTAAGTTGCCACAGGAAAAACGCATGATCTCAAGATTTTTATGCAGATGATAATCATCATCATCATCAGTTCTCGTTATGCCTAGTGGCACATGAGGCTTCAGAGATGACTTTCCATGCTTTCCTGTCCTGTGCAATCTTCAGTGCAGTTTTCCATGTCAAAGATGCTGCACTCAGGTCACTTCCCATTGTTCGTCTCCATGTTGTTTTTGGGCGCCCCTGTTTTCTCTTTCCCTCTGGTGTCCATGTGAGAGCTGTTTTGGTTTTTACATCAGGATTCATTCTCATAACGTGGCCAAGCCATTTCCATCTTCTCTTGGTTATCATACTGTCTTAAGTTTCTTGGTTTGTGACTTGAAGTAGTTTAGTGTTTGAGATTGTATCTGGCCAGAAAATTCTCCAGCATTCCGCTCCATAAAGACGAACTGGAAAAAATATGGTCTTGTAGAGTCGGAGTTTCGTTCCTCTGCAGTAATTGTTGGATTTTCAGATTTGCCTCATCCTTCCAAAAGCAGGTTTAGCTTTGTTCAGACGTGACTGTATGTCCTCTTCTGTCCCTCGCGGTAGGGACACCACATTGCCAAGATATGTGAAATGTTCTACATTTTGAAGAGTTTGGTTATTTATGGTCACTGGTTTTTGGTTTGGACTGATTGTCATGATCTTAGTTTTCTTTGTATTTATTCTCAGTCCCACCATTTCTGCGTATTACTTTCACAAGGACCAGTTTAAAGAAACAGACACGCGCGCGCAGGCGCGCACGCACTCACACACACGCACGCACGCACGCACGCACACACAGTCTCTCTCTGGCTCACTCTCTCGTCCTCTCTCTCTATCTGTCTGTCTACACGCACACGTAAATTTATATATATATATATATATATATATATATATATATATATATATATATATATATATATATATATATATAAGTGTGTGTATATGTATATATATGTATACACAATTTATTTAACTCTCCCCCTTTTCAGTCCCCCTCCCCCCCTCCCCCCACCATCAAGCATGTACTGTATAGACATTTCCTTTTCAAAAATTTTTCCAAACATTTCATATATTTGTTCCACAAAATAAACCTAATCTCCTAGAGTCGACTCCGCCTTTTCAATGATTGCAGTCTGCACAGAATGACAATAATAAGGACGATACGATCATGTTTGTGGTTATAAGGATGAGTTAAAATGTTATACCTTACAATATCCAGCTGATTTCATTTAAGAATTGACATCACAGAAATCGGGGCATTCCCATGCGTGCTCCGTTCTCATCTTCAGCAGTCAGCGCAGAGTTCCAATACTGATGGTACCGGTCACAAACTGGTTATATGTCTGTCTTGCCTTTCCTCTGGGTGTAGTGAGCCGGCCAGAACCTCTGGTTATACCCAGGTGCCTTATTCTCTCCAGGCCATAGTAAACTTCTTTCTCTACTGATTCCGTTGTTTGTTCCCAAAGAAGGGTCTTGTCCTGCCTTATCGTGTTTCAATTCACCACCCAGTGTTGCAGATCCAGCCAGTCTGTCTGCCCGTTTATTACCCACCACACTGGCAGAACCTGGAGAAAAGATCCACAGTATGCTCAACATCCGTGACCTCTCCAGTGAAACTTGCCACTTTGCTCGAAGCATCCAAGTCTTCACCTTTCTCAGCATGCTGTACAATTTCCAATATTTGTTCAGTTCACATGTATCAACGTACATATCGGCACATTAAACTATTTATATGTTAACTACAACATAAAGTGCGACTAGAAAGCTCGCAGAGAGGCAACGAAAAAAGCTCGCACAACA